GTACTAGCCCCTGCGCGCAGCGTGAGGGCAGAGGCCTCGGCCGCAGCTACTGCGCATGCTCCGCTCGGGAGGCGCCTATGCACACGCTTTGAAAACAGCCGCTGGAGCCAAGTGCGGAGACCAAACTTTGACCGCGCGAGGACAGAGGGGGGAGGTTCCATCTGCGGTGTTCGCAAACCGGCCTGTGGGGGAGATGCGGGTGTTTCTCTGGTGGTGGGGGCCTCTCAGGGTCCGTCCCAGGGTTGGGATCTGACGGGCACAACCTGGCCAGGGCGGCGCTCACCTGCTAGCAGGGCTGGACGCAGGGAAATGTTTTAGCTGCAGCCCCTGCAACACTACCATGGCCAGGCCTGGCGCTAGGGCGTATGCACAGGAGGGGAAAATCTAAAATCTCATGACAGACAGACAAGATTGTATAAAAAAGAATGGGGCTGTGTCTACATTGGCAGAATTTTGCCCAAAAACTTGCTTCCTGTCTACATTGGCCACGAGTTCTTGCGCAAGAACACTGACATTCTAATGTCTAAAATCAGGGCTTCTTGCGAAAGAACTATGATGCGCCCGCTCAGGAATAAGCCCTCTTGCGCAACTGTTCTTGCGCAAGAGGCCAGTGTAGACAGGCAACATGAATTTCTTGCGCAAGAAAGCCCTATGGTTAAAATGGCCATCGGAACTTTCTTGCGCAAGACAGTGTCTACACTGGCACAGAAGCTCTTGCGCAAAAGCACATGCCAGTGTAGATGCTCTCTTGTGCAAATACTTTAACGCAAGAACTCTTGCATTAGAGTATTTGTGCAAGATCATGCCAGTGTAGAACTAGCCTGGTTGTAAATGGTCATAAGTTGGGGATCACCTTGTAAATCAGCTGCTTTGCACACTGCTGCCCCAGGATTGGTGCGGCTGGGTGGGCCCCCACAGAGGTGGTGGCAGTGTGTGAGCAGAAGCCCTGCCCTGGGGTGCAGGGGGAGAGACAGAGCCTCCAGCCCCGCCCCCAGCAGTGCCCAGTGTGGGGAGTTGCTGCTTCCTGCCCCTGCCCCACTCCCCAAGGGCTGCCCCAGGTACCACAGGCTGTTCTAGGCCCTGCCTGGCCCAGCCTGTCCTAGGCGTGCAGCTGCGAGAGCTAAGGGGTTACCCCACCGTCCACCACCTCACTACAGGCTTTGGCTTCTGCTCTGGGTGCGGGTGAAGATGCTGCTCTACTGCTGTGTGCACTGAGGGCAGAGGGATGTGGGGACAGCAGGGGGGTGAAGGAGGATGGGGTATTGGGCACTGCCGGGGGATCAGGGTGTGATGGGGGATCATGGGGAATGAGGCTGGAAGCCAGAGCTAGGCTGTGGGAAGAGCTGCCCAGGCAGCCTGGGCTGATGGGGAGCCCCAAACTCTCTATCTGCCCTGAGCAGCCCCCAGCCTGTTCCTTCCCCCTTATCCCACCGGACTGGCAGAGGGTTTTGAGAGCCCAATCACCAATCTGAAATACAAACAAAACACATGGAGCTGCCCAGCTCCCCCTCCTGGCCCTGCTGCAGGGTTTTAAACGGTCTCTTCAGCCCCTGCACTCCATGGGGCTCCAGGCAGCTTGGCCAGGCACCAGCGGAACATCTGTGCCTAGGGCTCTGGGCTCCCAGGGCTGCTCTTCTGGGGTGGGACTGTTAGGGACAGAAGCATCCATGAGCAGAGGTTTGGTGCTTCTCTCCAGGCAGTGGGGCTGAGCAGCTAAGGCCTGGGGTATCTGTGCTGGAGACCCTGGGTACAGGTCCAGTCCCCATTGCCCCCTTGTGCAACTTCCCTTCATTTAGGAGTAAAACAGGTTGGAAATGCGACCAGAGTGACTCTTGTGCACCTGGAAAGAAAAAAACCTCCCCCCCCCAGACTGTCATGTGTGTAGAAGAAAAGCCCCTCGTCTCTCCTGCAGCCAGCCTCAAGGTCTCTGATGACGGGGTGTTGCCAGTGCTCCCTGGCTCTGATCAGCTTTTTGGCCTGGCTGTTCCAGCAAACGGCTCCACTGACAGAACTGGACAAACGCACATTCTTATGTCTCTGTTTAGCTCACTCCCAAGTCAAGGGAGCTCTGCTCATTTGCTGCTTGAGCCCAGCACCTGGCTTTATTCACATCAGCCCCTGTGCTGGGGGGGAGCATCACTGGGATTTTACAGGGACATCAACATCCTCCTGCCTTATTGCACTTGCAGTGGGTCTGTGCACCTCAGAAGTCACCTGCTATCGACAGACCCAACCAAGAAAGCCACAGAATGCCCTTGGCCAATACCTACAGCCCCCAGCTAGACCTTCTCCAGCACATCAGCAAGGCTCTGCAACCGGTCCTAGGTGATTTTAGGACCAGAGCCCTAGTGGGACATTTTTCACCAAAGTCTCCAGGACTGAATTGTTTCCTTTGAGGCCCTTTCCAGGAAGGGAAATGCCCCATTTCTGGCATAGGCCTGGCACAGTGTGAGCTCAGGAAAGTCAAACTAACCTTGTTCCACTGCCCAGAAGCAGCCATGGCTGCAGCAAGCCCCTTGGAAAGTCTCCAGGAGGAAGCGACCTGTCCCCTCTCCCTGGAGTATTTCATGGACCTGGTGATCACAGACTGTGGGCACAATTTCTGCTGGGCCTGCATCAACCAGTTCTGGGAGGGACCCAGCCCAGCCCAGCCATCCCTTACCCGCAGTGCAGAGAAACTGTGTAGCAGAGAAACTTCCAGCCCAATAGGCAGCTGGCAAATATGGTAGAACTAGTCAAGTGGCTGAGTTTGCAGGCACCAAAAGGAGCATGAGGGGATAGGGTGTGCGGAAAGTACCAGGAGGCTCTCAAGCTGTTCTGTAATGAGGATCAAACTTCAATCTGTGTGATTTGCCATCTATCCCAGGCTCACCACACAGGGTGGTGCCCATAAGGAAGCGGCCCAGGAGTACTACACAGGGAATTGCTACTACGTTGAATCTACTGTCTATTTGGGAGAGTTTGTCTGCCTGTGTCTGTGTGTTTGCCTGTTCGTTCAAGCACTTCTCCTAAACCGTGAGAGCTGCAACGACCATGGAGAGGCACCTCACCTGGCCCCAAGCTGCTGCAGTGACAGAGGGCTGGGACAGTGCTCGCTTTCCAGGGCACCCTGCCTGCTGACCCCCTCCTCCCCAGCCCCACCGCAGGCCAATGACTGAAATGAAGCCCGGACATTCTCATTTTATTCTCCAAACTATAAAAATTGAATTAAGGACCCCAGCAATGTCAGGTAAAACTTCTAGTAATGAAATCAGTGCTCTGGCAACAGAGGCAAAATCTCAACTCTTTAAAACTTCCAGCTGTGAGAAACTTTCCTCAGAGATGCTGAGTCCTGTTGGAACCCAGCTTGGTTTAAAAGCTCTTTTTTTCACACTGGAGGCTGTGTTGTTCTCAGAGAAGCTTGGCTCAGAAGCACTGCCACTGACTTCTTTGAGCCAGTTGCCCTCAGCTTGGAAAAGGGTAAGTTCCAGGATCTAGTGGAAACCATTTCATATATAGCTAGAAGCCATTCTGTATAACAAAAGCCATTTCAGTTTCCTGAGTCTGCACGTATACTAGAGGGAGTGAACTGGCCTTCACCGAGATGGGGAGAGGCCAGAAGGATGCACTGTTGGAATGTGTTAATGAACTATTTTAAGCTGAAGCCCTTACTCCCCTATTGCAAGAAACCCCTATTGCCCTTCCACACTGCCTTCTTGAGCAAGAGCTCTTGCGCAAGAGGGCTTATTCCTCATGGGTAGAGGAATAACTCTTGTTCAAGAAGCCCTCTGTTCCGATGCCTTACTGTAAATTTACTCGCACAAGAACATGCGCGCAATGTAGACGTTCCGCAAGTTTTTGTGCAAGAACGGTCATTCTTGTGCAAGAAGCCTGCAGTGTAGACATAACCCAAAGGAAATGGTGGCATAATGTATAGAAATGTTACTCAATGTTGATTTTAAATAAAAGAGGAACATGAAAGTTCTTGCCCTACAAGGACTTTTATCAGTTCTTGTTTCTATATATGTAAAAAGGTAGAGAAAATCTGGCCTGAGGCCTTGAACCTCAGTTCTCCCTACCCTCCCCCCTACGGGGCTGGAGTGCCAGGGGAATGAGGTGTCTCAGTTGGGGGCCACCTCAGTGAGGGTTGGAGGTTTCTGGAGGGGTTGTTTTTTGCTTCTCACTTGTGTGGTCCTCAACTGATTTTTCTGTGGGTCAGTGGCCCTCATGCAAAAAAGGTTCCTTGTCCCTACCATAAATAAGGACAATGCTGAAATCTTTTGTGTTGGTCATATTTTACTTTATTTAAAAAATGAAGCCTGGCCAACAAGCCCCTAGTTGGGGCCCAGCCCCCATCTGGCTGCAGCATAATAACACTCCTGTACTCCCCCACACCCTAACCCTGAACCCCCTGCCCTGAGCCCCTCTTACACCCACATCCCCAAACTTCTGCACCCCCACATCTCCAGTCTCCTGCCATAACACTCCTGCACAACACACACCCCAAATCTGTGCCCCTCATATATCCCCCCTGCCCTCAGCCCCTCAAACACCGCAACCCAGACCCCTGCACCTCACATCCCCAGCCCCCATCATCAAATTGGCATAAGACATTCTGAATACATGCACAAAGCTGGATTTGACCAGTTATGATGTAAATGTCAAAGAAATGTGTGAAAAGATGCAGTAGAAGTCCCATTAAATAGAGTCCGTGAGTGCAATGTTTCCTTTGTACTATTATTAATCACCATGTCAATTATCTATAATTATCTATGATATTAAGTTGTATATTTTCAGTCATGCAAATGGGCATTTTTATGCAGCTCTTTATAAATCACTTGTTCTGAATTTTGATGTAGTTTGGCTCTTTGCAGTTTGAAAAGATTGTTGACCCCCACTCTAATAGAAGTGTTTTACACACCAGGCCCTATACAGGAATTTCTGGGGGGGGGTGCTTTTTTTGTAAATGTGGACTGCAAGTGTGTGACTGCGCACACCCATGGTCCTCAAAGTAAATGGGGAAATCAGCTCCAGCCTTCCCCCAGTCCCCCAGAACATGGAGGAGGAAGGCTCAGGCAGCATGCCTCTCTGGCTTTCCCCTGGCTGGCTGGCGCATACTTATTTGAGGGATTGTAAGGGGGTGCTTTTGCACCCTTCTCCCCCTCCTTGCATACGGATCAGAGGTTTCTCTGGGGGATTTGCTGATGCGGGACTTGTGTGGATTCTCTGATGTCTAGTAAAGTGTGAAGTGCACCCAAAGCTTTTACCACACTCATTGCATTGATACAAGTCTCTGTCTCTCTCTCTCTTGTGGATAATAAAGTGTTAAGTTGGACTGAAGCTTTCCTCACAATCCAAGCACTTATATGGTTTCTCTTTTATGTGAGTACTTTCATGTCCAATGAGGGCAGTTTGCCAAATGAAATCTTTCCCACATTTACAGCATTTATACGGCCTCTTTCCTGTATGGATTCTTTCATGTCTCATGAGGACTGTTCGACTAGTGAAACATTTCCCACACTCGTGGCATTTATATGGTTTCTCTCCTGTATGGGTTCTCTCATGGACCGTAAGGACTGATCTGTGGGTGAAACCATTCCCACACTCACCACATTTATATGGTCTCTCCCCTGTGTGGGATCTTTCATGGACAGTAAGGGCTGATTGGTGAGTAAAACCTTTCCCACATTCATGGCATCTATATGGTCTCTCTCCTGTGTGCATTCTCTGATGGATAATAAGGTGAGAGTTTTGACTGAAGCTTTCCTCACATTCGGAGCACTTGTATGGTTTTTCCCCTGTGTGGGTTCTCTCATGTCTAATGAGCTCTGAATGCCAAGTGAAACCTTTTGCACACACATGACATTTATATGGTCTCTCTCCTGTGTGGATTCTCTCATGTGTAATAAGATTTGACCGCTGACTGAAGCTCTTCCCACATTCCAAACATCTATATGGCTTCTCTCCACTGTGGGTTTGCTGATGTCTAGCCAGGTGTGCTCTCGAAAAGAAGCTTTTCCCACACTCAAAGCATTTATGGGATTTTTCTCCTCTGTGGACAATCTCAGGTTCCATATGGGATGACAGTACAAGCAAGCTTTTTCCACACTCCAGGCACTTGCAGAGTCTCTTTCCTGGGTGCCCTCTCTGGGGCAGAATAAGGCCTGACTTCTCACTAAATATTTTTCCACAGTCTGAGCATTCACAAGGTTTCTTTCCATTGGGATTTGACTTCTGGGCTGGTGTTTCCTTGGGTTCCTTGGATCCTTCCCCTCCTTGACTGGATTCCTCTGCTTTCCTGCTTGGATTGTTCTCCAGCTGCCTCTCTGCCCTGTATTCATTTCCCCAGGCTTCCCCCTGTTCTACACACTGGGAAAAATCCCCTTCAGCTCCCTCCAAAGATGTTCCCTGTGATTCTACGGTGCCAGGACCTTCCTGCCGTTGATTCTCCTCCTTGTTTTCCCTCACTGTCCTAGCACCTGCTGGGAGAGAGAGAATCCATGCAGGAGTCACTGTCTGTGCTGGGGTGAAAAGACCCACAGGGAAATTCCAACAACAGAAAGCACAAAACAATAAGGCTACGTCTACACTGGCAGCTTCTTGCGCACAAACTCTTTTGCGGAAGAGTTCTTGTGCAAAAACTCTTCCACAAGAGAGCATCTACACTGGCATGTGCTTTTTCGCAAAAGATGTGCTTTTGTGCAAGAGCATCCATGCCAGTGTAGACACTCTCTTGAGCAAGAAAGCTCTTATGGCCATTTTAAACATAGGGGCTTCTTGCACAAGAAATTCATGTTGCCTGTCTACACTGCCCTCTTCTGGAAGAGCTCTTGTGCAAGAGGGCTTCTTCCTGAGAGGGAGTGTCAGAGTTCTCAAGCAAGAAGCCCTGATTTTCTACAGTACATCAGTTTACTTGCACAAGAATGCACTGCCAGTGTAGACAGGCGGCATGTTTTTGCGCAAGAGCGGCCATTTTCGTGCAAGAACGCACCAGTGTAGACACAATAATAGTTTGAGAGACTAAGACATTGGATTCTACCTGTACATCCCAACCAAACACTTCCAGGGAAGGAAACAAAGAGAATAAACTCCTGACAGCTAAAAGGATGTCTAGGGAGCTATGACAGGTATTTGCCAGGATGATACCTGCAGCCCTTCCTGGGGGACATGGGGTGGAAGCAAGGGCTCTTGCTCACTGCTCATTTTGGGGACTCCCAGCTTTTTCCTGCACTTGCTGGATGGTTTCTAAGTCAGTTTCCCTGACTTCTCACCTGTGCAAGTGCCTCTCAGGAACTCCATTTCTTTGGAGGGCTGGAGATCTGGGACCCACGGTTCTTCCCCTCGTTCCAGCTGGGTGATCAGGTCAGGTTTGGGAATGGAGAATCCTGCACAGGGGTGAGATCAGGCAAGGTGAAGGCACATGGAATCTGAGCAGAGTGTGTGTCACAAGAAACATTCCCTGAGCACAATCTGATCCTACATGGGACTGGGGTAACTCAAGAGATCTTGAGAGCAGGAGATTTCAGAGGCAGAACAGGGTGGGGGATGTGACAAAGTCAGGATTGTATTCCCTAAGTTATGTGATTTCTATTGTCCTCTAGTAACTCCGTGTGTGTGTGCCTCAATTTCCCTGAGCACTGCACCACTATCTAGATGGGGATGGGAATTTCAGAGTGATTGAGGGAAGATGCTCAGGACAGCACATTCACAATAGCCCAGGCTCATTGTCATCTGAAGCTAGGAGCGGTGTATGCCCAGGGTACACCTTTTGCCCGGGAAGCTGGACAAAGGCTTGAGACAGGGCTGGCTGCAGCCAAGGACGAGTTGTGGAGGGTGAAAGTGAGTCTTCTTGGCCTGGGGACAGAGATGGGGAGGGGGTTGGCTCAGGGCCCCCTTGTCTCTAAGATGGATTGTGGAAACTGCTCCTGGTCCGTGTACTAACAAGTCTGTTCTATACTGTATCCCTGTGAACTCATAAACCTTCTGTTCTACCTGCCGGATGAAAGTCACATCTGTGGATGTGGGAGCAGGGCTCAGTGACTCCCAACACCTTAATGACAGAGGGTGTTGTCACCCTCACTAGGAGTTTTAATCATCCGTGGGCTCTGGGGGACTTGCTGACACACAGCTCTGGGATTAAATTCCTTCCTATTTCCAAGTATGCACAAACTAGAGCAGTGGTCTCCAACCTTTTTACACCCAAGATCACTTTTTAAGACTCAGAACAGGCGAAGATCTACCGCCCTGCCCCTTCCTTGAAGACTCGCCCCCTCTATTCTCCTGTCCATCACTTGCTATCCCCAGCCCTTATACACTCTGTTAAACAGTTTATTTTTAAATTATGCAATATATAAAATTAAAATCACATGTTTATAGGTATGAAATAAATGGTCTGTTTTTAATTCACGCTATTTAAATATCAAATGAAGCATTTACAATTATACATTTTGTCCTCTGCTATTTTGTAAATCTAAAATCAAGTATTGATAATTATATATTTTTTCTTCCAATAACAAAGTTTCAGTGTGACACCTGTGACTGAACAGTATCTGCCAGTGTCTTGAAGTCTGTATACATTTTGTTCTCTGCTATTTTGTAAATCTAAAATCAAGTATTGATAATTATATATTTTTTCTTCCAATAACAAAGTTTCAGTGTGACACCTGTGACTGAACAGTATCTGCCAGTGTCTTGAAGTCTGGGTTGTAGTCTGAGATTGCTAGTCATATACAGTCCATCAGATGGGCATCTGTGATTGTGCACTCAGCCTGGGAAGCTTGCTCCAGCACAGCTGGAGCTAGATGCAGCCTCCCTGAGCTGAGCACAGGGCAGCCAGGCTGGAGGGAAGAGAAGTGGCTGCCTGGCCAGCTGGCTATGGTGCTCAGCCAGGGTGCACCAAGCTCCACGTGGGCAGGTGCAGAGGAGAAGCCGCCGATCAGCTGGAGCATGGGGCAGCCTCTTTCAGCTGAAAGCCACAGTCAGCTGGCTGGGATGTTTCAGCCCTCCAGATCTCCCAGCTCCCACCATTCCTCGCAGCTATTCACCTGTTGTTGTTGCTCGGTGAGTAGCTGCTCCTCAAATGAGGAAATCTAATGTAAATGTACTGCGCAGGCACGCAGTTCAGAGAGGGCTCAAGAGCTACTCTTAGAGGCCCTGAGATCTACCAGTAGATCATGATCTACTGGTTGGTGACCACGGAACTAGAGCCTTCCCTATGGACAGAGCCAGTCCCAAGGAGGCAGATGAATGGTGTGTGTTTGAGAAATAATGTAGGCAGGACAGTTCCCTGCTTCTGGTCTCTGAAAGCTGGGGAGATGAGGATGAATTAGCATGTCCCTTAGGCATCTGACTCCCCTGTTCCCCTGAAGGGGACATGGGGATGAAAGTGTCTCTCACAGGAGGGCTGTGGTCCCCTCTAACTGCGCTGAGCATATGCAGAAATGCTGGCCCCAGGGCTTTGCTAGCTGCAGGCACAGGAATCCTTACCCAGCGAGGCCACAGTCTCATAGTTCTCCTGCATGACGTCCCTGTAGAGGGCTCTCTGATTGGGACCCAGCAGCGCCCCCTGCCCTGCGGTGAAATACACAGCCACCTCCTCGAAGGTCACGGGCACCTGAAACAACAGAGGCCCCCTACTCAGCACCTGCCGCCCCAGCCCCAGCCCCACTAGTCACAATGGAGGACTGAGGAGCAGAATCCCACCCCAAACCTGCCCAGAGAGACCTCACCATGTGTATTTCTTGCCCCTCCCTCTCTACAATAATCCCCCTGCAACTCCCCACAAAATCCCCTACCTGAGCTGGCTCCACCACAGCCATTTCCCTGCCCTGCCTCCTGCAAGACAGGACGATCTGGAGCGAAGTGGGGATGTGAGTCTTCACCCTGTCAGGGCAAGAGGAGTGACTAGGGAGGTTTCCAAAGTGGGTTGGGTTCATTTCACACCCCCAGTTCCCCAAAGCTCTCTCCCTGGAGACAGACGCTCTAGGCTCCGCCATGCTAGGAACCCCTCAGTTGTGTGGTTACAACACAGACATGGCCCCTCCCACCAACGCTGAGCCTACCAGGCACTTTTACACCCTCCCTGGGACAGAGACTCTGAGATAGATGCTAGAAAAGAGCAGAAGTTCCAAGCCTGCCACTGTGGGGGATTCCCCCAAATTGTCCCTGAGGCCAGTCCCCCCTCCTCTGGTCACATGGGGGCTGGGAGGGGTAGGAACTGGCTTTTCCTTCCCTGCATCCTGCTCTCAGGACAGTCAATCTGCCCAGGGTGATGCAGTGAATGAGCCTGGACAGGTTGAGGGCTGGAAATCTCTCCCTAATTCCTGCACTTGCTGCCCCTTCTGGTCTCCCCTGTCCCTCTCCTGCCCTCTCCCCTCTGCTGGGAGCACTGGTGTCTGCCCGGTACCCATGGGCATTTCCTCTCCAGTGAGAACCTGGCTGTGTCACTGAGGTAGCAGCTCTGGGACCCGCAGACATACAGAGACCCCTCCCCTCCTGTCTGGCACAAACAGGCTGGAAGAGGCTGGTTTGGCTGAGTCACTTTCCTGCCCCTCCTAGCCTTTTTCCACCAGATCTCTCCCCATCACCTGGAACTGATGCCAACAGAGCTTGGGGCTCCCCCAAGGGGTGAGTAATAGGCACCGGGGAACGTCCCCACCCGGGATGGGCACAGAGGGGCTGCAGTGAATGTCTCCCTGCTACAGACCTGCTGCTTAGCCTGGGCTCCCAGATCATGGTGTCAGAGGAAGCAGCCTACGACCCAGGAAACTCAGCCAGCTCTAGGGCTCTGTACCCTGAGCAGAGATAGACACCAGCCTCCTCTGCCTGCACAGTAACCAGGGACCCTCCCCACATGCCTGAGCTGCTCCTGGGGTGCCCCACAGCTGCTAGGGACAGCTCATCAGATATGGATTCCATTGGACCAGCTGAACTTGCCAGAACTGAACCAGGCCCAGGAAAGTACGATTTTTAACTGACCTGGAATCAGACTTGAACCATCATTTTTCTCTGAGGGTATGTCTACACTAGCCACCCTAGTTCGAACTAAGGTGGCTAATGTAGTCATTCAAACTTGCAAATGAAACCCGGGATTAAAATATCTCAGGCTTTATTTGCATGTTCCCAGGTGCCGCCATTTTTAAATGCCTGGCAGTTTGAACTACCTGCCCGCAGCTACACGCGGCACGGACTAGGTAGTTCGAACTAAAGCCCCTAATTTGGACTACTATTACTCCTCCTGCAATGAGGAGTAATGGTAGTCCAAATTAGGGGCCTTGGTTCGAACTACCTAGCCCATGCCGTGTGTAGCCGCAGGCAGGGAGTCTGAACTACTGGGCATTTAAAAATTCCTTGAAAGTAGGAATAAGAGATCCTCCGGAATAGGACTTTATTCCGGAGGATCGCGCCAGTCTGGATGCTCTTTTCCGGCTTTTCCCCAAGCCGGAAAAAAAGCGGCAGCCATGTTTATTTAAATCCCGCAGGGGATATTTAAATCCCCCACGGATTTCCCTATTCCAAAGTTCGAAATTAGCATGCCTATTCCGAAGAAGGGGCCAGTGTAGACGTAGCGTTTGTGAATCTGAATTGAACTGGGGAAAATGGCCACTAGATACAATGTCTGATAATGTTAAACAAAAGTGACTGCAATATTGTAAAACAGAGAACACAGAGGCATGAGAGTGCTCCAACAGCACAAGGGGCAGCCCACTGGTGCACAGCGGGAGATGGGAGAGAAATAGCAGAAGGCTCCCTGGCTCCAGAAGTTTACAATAACTCCTGAATTCTAAGGCAAACGGAACCATTCCAACTCTCACTCAAGCCCTGCAAATGCTGAGATTGTTATAACACAGAGGTTAAATTGGGAGCCCTGTGTTAGGGAACAGTGCAGGGAGGGGCTACCCATGGATATTTGCCTTGTAAATTCTGACTCCATGAGCATGGCTGGGCAAGACACGGCCCAGGGGCTGGATCCAGCCCTCCTCACACTTTGATCCGGCCCACGGACAGCATTTGGCCACTTTTTATGTACATCGTGCTGCCACTGCCACCGAATTTCCAGGCAGTGGCTCAAGCAGCAGCATCTTATTTCCATGGTGCACGGCTCCCAGTCACATTGCCACCCCAGCAAGGCCAGAGCCATGAGCCCTTCAAATAGCCACAGCAACCCCATGTGGCTGCCAGGCAAAACCATGGCAGCAGGGACAGGAGCCACAGGCCCTTTTCTTTGTTTCTAATTCTATACCTCCAGCCCCAGACAATGCCAGGGGAAGGCCAGATACGGACCAACAACCATGGCACAGGGCTAGTCCTCTGCCCCCATCTCCCGTATTCATGCCCCACCCCTGGGCAGCTGGGAGCCAGCCCTGTTCTGGAGAACCAGCCCTGCTCCCAGGCAGCCAAATCTCTGCAGCCTCTGCCTGTGCCTCTGCCCCCTCAGCCCTGTGCCACAGCCAGACCTCAGGAGTGTGTCCCCAGGCCTTCTGCCAGCATGGAGGGAGCAGGTTGCAGCCTCTGGCCCCGGCTCCAACTTTCTAGCATTGCGAGCCACAGACCCAGGCAGGGGCAAGTGACCAGGGCTGGTTTTAAGCCGATTCAGCCGATTTGGGCCCCGCGCCCCTGCACCCGGAAGTTGGCTGCCTCTCCTCCGGCCTTACCTGCGCATGCTGCCGGCTGCTCCTGCTGTGCGTGCCATTCGCAGGTGGGCGGGGAGACGCCCAGCCATGACATGACGTCACACCCAGGATTTTAAAACTGAAAAGTGTCACCACGATGACGCGGTGCATGCGGTTCGCACACAGGCCCCGCAGCAGGCGCGGGAGCGGGAGCGGGAGTGGTGGCAGGGGCTCTGATGGGGTGGAATTGTGCTGAGGGGAGGGGGGAAGGTCAGGAGAAGAAAGGGGAAGGCACCAATGGACAGCGTGGAGGAGAGACAAATGCCAGGAGGCCAAGTGGAGACAATGAGGAAAAGGGCAGGAGGGGAGGTGTCAGTGGGAGGAGGCACAGGATGATACTGGGAGAGGAGAGGGTAAGGGCATTGGGGGCTAGAGAGGGAAAGGGAAGGTGCTGGGAGAAGGCTTGAAAAAAGGGGTGGGCATGAGAAAGGTGGGGATGGAGCAAGTTGTGTGAGGGCACAGAGGGGCAAGAAGAGGAAGTAAGAAGAGGAGACATGGTAGCAGAGAGAAAAGGTAAAGGTTTATAAAATATTTATTAATAACTTGGTATGCTGCCCACGGTCAGTTTGTTTGCACCCCGTGGTGCAGTTTGGTTTCTGTGGGGATCAACATGTGGCTGGCGAGTGGGAGCCAAAACAAAAGTAGTCAGTATAATAATCTTCTGTTGATATGTGTTTTAGTAGTTAAATTCTTGGACTGTCATTGCTCATGAAAAGTGTTGTCACAAGTAGAAATCGGGTAAATATTGCATTTTATTAATATCAGCAGAACTGACTTCAATGGGGCCTGTGTGTTGTGTAGTCTTGCCTTAATCTTTGTATTCATGCCTATCAGTGTGAGAGAAGCTATTTGTATATATTTGCTTGCATATGCAACCACACTTAAGTTGAGGCCCTCAGCATGTTCTGTAAATATCAGTGTGGCCCCTAGGGCTTCCAAAGTTGAGTTGCCCTAGCTCATCCCTGACAGGTGTCTGGTCTAACCTAGTCTTAAATATCTGCAATTTAAGCCCATTGCTTCTCATCCTAACCTCAGAGGCCAAGCAGAACAATTTTTCTTCCTCCTCCTTATGATACTTTAAAGCTGCTCTCATGTCCCTTTTCAGTCTTCTCTTTTCTAAGGTAAACAAGGCCAATTTCTTCAGCCTTCCCTCATATCTCATGTTTTCTAGACCTTTCATCATTTATGTTGATCTTCTCTGGACGTTCTCCAGTTTCTCCACATTTTCTGAAATGTGATGCCCATTGGATGGGCCTCAGCCTCTTTCCTTCCCCTCCCACACTTTGCAATGGGGCTGTAGACTCTGGAGGAGAGGGGTAGAGGCAGGGAGGGGTTAGGAGGGCACAGTAGTTCTGATGGGGGTTGGAGAGGGGACGGAAGCCAGATCCAAGATCAATGAGCCCTGGGAAGTGGGCCCACTGAAAGGAGACTGGACCTGTGGATGCCTTGGGGGTCTGCAACAAGGGCCTGCTTTGGGAAGCTCCCTCTTTGGAGGTGAGTGTGGCAGCATTGAGACACCACTCAAAAGCAGGCGCCACAGACACTAACTGCAGATTCATGGGACGGCTCTCACAGATCTTGCACATGCATTAAGATGATAGATCTGCAGGAAGGGGGGCAGTGGCGTAGTGAGGGGGACGGATGGGTCAGTTGCCCTTGGGAGAAAAATATAAAATTTAGTTTAAAATAGATGTCACGTGTTTTTAAAAGGAATACCATATCTCCTGCCTTGTGTCTATTTTTGTCTCTTTAAGCCCCCAGTTAAAATTTTCAAAAGCACTTGAATGACTAAAGTCATTTTTGAAAATTGGACTTGGAAATCTAAGCTCAGATTTTCAAAGGTAATTAAGCTCCTAAAGAGACAGTTTCCAATTCGAATCTTCAAAGATATCTAACTGATCTTTACACACCTTTGAAAATCTGGTCGTAAGTGTCCTAGTCAGTTCTGAACGTGAGATGTAGGAGCCCAGTCCTAATTCCTTCAGGCTTTTTTTTTAAATTTGAACATTTATCTACACTAATTCCCCTCCTTTCTCTTTCACTATCCAATAAATGCATGGATCAAAATTATAGGTGCTTTCTGAATATGCTGACTTGAGAGTAGAAAGATTTCCTATTGTCATGTATTTCCTGGTAACCCATCTCAAATCTGAAAAACTAGGTTTGTACCTGTTCATAAGCTGTTGAATTCAGTTCACCATTTACAGTACAGGCAGTCCCCGAGTTACGCGGATCCGACTTATGTCGGATCCGCAGTTACGAACAGGGCCCGTCTCCCTGGTCTCCAGCAGACCAGGAAGAGGAAGCAAAGCGGCGGAGCACGCAGGCAGCGGACAGCCCAGACGCGTCTGGGCTGTCCGCTGCCTGCGTGCTCCGCCGCTTTGCTTCCTCTTCCTGGTCTGCTGGAGACCAGGGAGACGGGCCCTGTTCGTAACTGCGGATCCGACATAAGTCGGATCCGCGTAACTCGGGGACTGCCTGTATTCCATTCCACCATGGTCGCAAAGCAGCAAGAGCGTGTTGCCCTGGTAACTGGAAAAGCAAGAGCCAGTTTGGGAGGCATATGTGGGGTCTGCAAGCCTAGTGGGGTTCAATATGTGACATAGATGAATTGCGTATCTCTCGGAGGGAAAGGGGTCCAGTCATCCCATGTAACACTCTGCTGCTAGCAAACAGTGGTATCAGGCAGCCCTGAAAGGGAGAGGCAGATTCAATGAAAGCAGCTACCTTCATGGGAAAAGTAGAGCACAGGTAGCGCCGAGAAACCACAAGCATTTTCAGCTCTGGGCTATCATTGCATTTTAATCAGCATCAAGGAAAGTACAGATGCGCACGTGAACCTTTGGGCTTAATAATTCTGTACGAAGGCATCCAATTCAAGAGGACTTATTGGTCTTTCCCCGCCCCGGAGGACGCGAGTGGCAGGACGCCTAGATGCGCTGCGGAACCGCCGCCCGCGTCCTCCGGGGTGAGAAAAGATGCTCTGCGTTTCCCTGGTATGCTAGGGGGAGCTCCCCCCAGCAGACTAGGGAGACACGGAGCGAAGCTGCGAAGCACGCGGGCAGCGGGACAGCCCAGACCAGGGAGCCTCCCCCAGCAGACCAGGGAGACGGGGAGAAAAGCCTTGGAGGACGCCGGCAGCGGGATAGCCGTGGCGCATCTGGGCAACTCTGCCTCGGGCTTCCTGTAGTCAGCCACTGGTCAGTTTCAGCAGCCAGCAGCTGAATCGGGACGCCAGTTCCGACTTACATACAGATTCAACTTAAGAACAAACCTACAGTCCCTATCTTGTACGTAACCTGGGGACTGCCTGTATCTCATTAGGATGTTTACTGGAAAAGATATTGTTTGCTTGTTTTTATTTATACTGTGGGCAAAGCATGGGCTCACAAGAATTCCTCCACTGTTTTACCATGAGTTTCAAAAC